CCCCCCCGTGGTGTCACAGTCCGTGCAGAGCTCAGTGCTGTAGTGCCCCCTGACCACCAGCAGGTGGAGGCAGCGGCTCGTCTGAGGAGCAGCGTTCACACTGAGTGATGCGTTCACGGCACAAAAGGCCACTCCCCATTTATTACAGACCTGTGTCGTTTCCATCATGGAACATCTAATCCTGCTAAGTGTTCTGGTTCGTTTTTATGGTCATTTAATTATGGCATGAATTGCAATCTAAAGATACTTATTTAATTAAAGTGGAGGCTTCTTACTAACTTTATTTTACTGTCCTTTGTGAAAAAGCACAAAAGTAGAGTATGAATTAACTTTGTCCTTTTGAAGAGTTCAGAGAAATGTCTGTGTCATAAATCACACTCAGCTGCATGTTCCAATTCTTTCTCACCCAAAAATCCAATATTAAACCAATATGAATCAATCAATAGGCAAATATGTGAATATCTACGGCTAATTCAACAGGCCCCAGTCAGTGTGGTTAAGGTGAACATGTTTGAAAGCATCATACACATTTTATGATGCAGCTAAACAATCTCCCTTTACCAGGAATTAGACTGGACCTCACTGGGACCCAGCTGAGGTGAACTTGAGTCCAAAGTGTGGGAGATACCTCAAACCTTCCCTCCCTTCCTGTTTCCCCCTCAACGCCCCCCTCACCTCACTCTCCTCTACCTCCCACACCCCTCAAAAGGTCACCCACATGCATCTCATTACCTCCTTTGAGGAATAAGAGAGATAACTGAGGATAAGTAAGGATTAACTGTTTTAAAACATGATAAAATACAGATGTTCTACCTTCTAAAAAGTTTCTTCGGCCACTGGGAAACAGTGCTGTGCATGGATGGCATCCCAGTTTGACCCCTATGAATGTTGGGATGAATCTCTTCCATGCAAGCAGCAATGTGAGGAGCCTTGCTGAGGAAAAACAGAAAGTTGCTCGGATGTTGCTCGCTGTGACCTATCGTGACCCCTATACATCAAACCTCATGACATCTCTGGTGACAGAGGAGGCCGCCAGTGAACTGTGGAGGAGAAGTTCAGGGGAGTCATGAGCACACAACTTTGATTCGCTAATCCATGCACCGCTGATGGGCTGAAGCCCAGAGTGAAGTGAGGTTGTGTTAGTGTGCATGTGAGAATTCAGCTCATAACACATCAGATCAAAGCCGTTTTCATTAGTAATACACTGGTGCATTATTTGACTTCATCAAATTAGAAATGTGCTTCAAATCCTTCTTAAAATGTACAGGCCTATACATGTTTGCCTTTACCCACAAAGCAACTGGACAAGGACACTTGAAACACACAGGAAGTGCAGAAGCTGACTAACTCATGAAACTGGGCTCTGGAGGCAGGTGGTATAAAAGTAGAGCATGAAAATCGAGATTTTTTTTATTCATAAACATAATTTATTCATCCCCAGAATTTCATCTTTTTGAATTCCTGAGGGGAAAAAACCAAATAATCATTGCAGTGCATTTCTTTTCTATTTATAATTTATCTGATATTTCCTATAAGCACAATGTCGACGTGCAAAGAAGTTTGATTTGTGGGCCTATATAACGCTCCTGAAGTATCTGTCAAATCTTCCCATGAATCCTGGGGGCACAATAAATAAAACTGTGATATAAAAACCTGCTTTGTTTCCAGGACACACACGCACACACCCACACCCACACCCACACCCACACCCACACACACACACCCACACACACACACACACACACAAACACACACACACACACACACACACACACACGCACACACACACACACACACACACACACAAGCTTGTATGAACTCTTGTATTTTTTTCTTTCTTTATTTTCCCCCACAGGCAGAATATGATGTGATATATGACTAAATGCAACGTTAATGACAGAGGCAACACGCCATAAACACGTTCGACCATTTCACCAAATACTACTGGAAAATATCAGCCTGCTTACTCTCAGTCTATATTTAACATATGCATAATAAAAAGTGCCATTTCCCATTTAAAGAACCATATTTTTTATGTTTTAGACACTGAAAAACAAAAAACAGACGCACATTTGGAGAGTATTCAATTCTTTATTTTCTAGTCTGCATTTGCATCACACTTACCATTAATGTAAAATAATTCCTCAGCTCATTACACACTCGTCTGAGTATTTATTTGGAAACCAGTTCATCGGTGGTAGCAGGTTTGGCCTCCGTGTGTCTTGCCTCCCAGATGTCTCCTGTTGTTCCAGAACAGACGGGAAACGAGACACTACTGCTGCAGCTCTCAGCTCATCAGATACCGTCCTATCGTCTGCATTCGTTCGAAAACAAGCAGCAGAATGTCGCTTTGTGTCTGTAGCATAAGAAAATAAACATTTTATATTTGTTGCAATAAGAAAACATGTCCAATCTTCAGCTTGATGCAGTGTTTTGGTTCTCGAATCAAACACAGAGGAGGATATTTTATTTTGCTCTTTGTTCTCTTTGCATCATTGCTCTCTTACACCTGTCTCTGTTGAAATAAACAACATTTACCTGCAATGCAATTGTTTATGTTAACTACAATTTATCTGCACATTTTAATGAGAATAAAAAGTGAAATTATGTGGTTAGTTTGGATGATAATTTGCAGAAATGACTATAAATGCCTGAGAGTGGGTTACACACAAAATAATTTCGATTAAACCCTAATACAAATATTAGATTAATATGTAAACCCCCTTTAGGATAGAATAAATTATATTACCTATATGTAGGTTATATTAGTCTATTATTTAGGCTAGATAGGTGCAGTGTATAATCATAAAATCTGCCATAAGTACATATACAAATAAAACTTGATATTGGTTATGTATGCATTAGTAGTCTAAAATATAAGCACATGTTAAGGCAGGTTTTTGTTGGAAAAGGAGCAGGCCATGGGAAAGACTTGGTCCTGCAGAGAATCTGAGAAAGGTACGAGTGTGAATGGGTTTTCTGCTGAATGCCAACACCCACTCACCTCAGCAAACAATTGATCCTATGTAAAAGCAGCTCCGTTCGTTTCTTTAACACTAAACCAAAGTCCAGTCTTCTCTTCTTTCTTTTCCTCGGCCAGGATAGTCCTTTCTGCAAACGAAAAAAACCCCACCAAGTGTCGTCTTGCGCTGGATTTCTGATTTATTGTCGAGGAGTGCGCAAAAGAAAAAAGAAAAAACCTTCGTGCGTAATGGCCCGCGCGTCTGATCCTTGCTTCCTAAAGAAATCCCCACATTTCTAGATTGAAAACTTCTCCTTTACACAGGCCAACCTGGAGAGTGGTCGCTCTCTTCCTGGCCATATATGATCTAAAGGAGTGTTAGATGGTTTAAATGTGTTCTTAGGGCAGGGAGCTGTCAGACCTTTTGGCGAGAAAGATTGATCACGCGCAGGCTACCAGGGCTCTTTGTTTAGAGCCGGAGCAATAAACAGCCTTTCCTCTGCTTCACACTACAGTGGCAAATCATGTCCACTCCGCGCCGTGTTGTAACCAATAATACTGAGGTATATGGATGATGAATTAGGTCAATATTATCCCTATAGGTGAAATAAAATAAATGAAATGGGATGTGTAGCAGGGAGCTATAAACTGTGAAATGATGACAAATACCCATGAAGTAACCAACTGCTTCTATTCCATGTGCGCAAAATCTTGTTTTCAGTATATCATAATCATAACATATGTTATTATATATACTTAAATGGTAAAGTTATCAAAAATAACATAATTTATTGGAGAGACAAGAGAGATAAGGGGGATCAAATCTGATGAGTGTAAAATCGAAATCAAAATAATCTCCCCCTCTTCCTCTCTCCCCCTGTTTTTCTCCCCCTCTCTCCCTCCTGTGAGTTGGGGGAAGGGTGAGGGTGCACGACATGTTGTTTGGGTGTGTGTGCGCGCACGCAGCCCTCCTCGCCAGGCAAAGCAAACCTTCAACAAAAAAGTCTGAAGATTAACGCCTTGGCACTGACAACGACTGCGGGCGTCGCGGCTTTATGAGACACAAATGTGACTGCTGCCATGATTTGTGGAGTGCCATGGCTAGAAATAAAGGCCCGCGTGCACGTGGAAATGCGCGTGCCCGCTCGGCAAAAGTACCGTGGCCGCGCGTAAAGCAAGGGAAGGCACCACTTCTTGGGTGCTTTTTTTTCATGGGGAGTGGGGGGGGGGGGGGGGGGGGGGGGGGGGGGCACCAGTGAGCAAACTGCCCCCCGAAAATGTGTAAATAAAGCGACCACCACCCCCGGAATGAGGCGTTACCCCTCCGAGTTTTTCGATCAATCACAGGGGACAGTGGCTTCTTTTGATAAAAACCTCAAATTGTCATTGGGCAGATGCAATCATGTGACAAGCAGCACGGTCTAATTCCAACCATGTCCCCATGAAAGCAATAGTTTATGTCATAGAGGTCTCCATATACCAGACTATATCCACTTTAGCAGTTTATGCTTATTTTTTTTATTATTATTGTCATTATTTCTGTCACCCTCTGACTTCCAGTGGGTTCTCGGGACAAGGAGGAGGAGATGAATTACGAATTTGGGCGAGAAAGTGGTTTTATCAACAGCCAGCCGTCGCTCGCTGAGTGCCTGACATCTCTCACTAACCCTGTCGGTGATGCATTTCAAAGTTCATCAATCAAGAGCCCGGCGCTTTCACGGTCGACACTGATTCCTCCTCCTTCCTTTGAGCACACCATCCCCGGCCTGAGCGCGGGCATCCACCCACGCCACAGCCGCGCAAAGCAGCAGGCTCTGAGAGGCTGCAGCCCGCTGCGCGCCGCATCCCTGCCTCCGGAGTACCCGTGGATGAAGGAGAAGAAAAGCATCAAGAAGAACCAGACTACTACTGCTGCTGCTGCTGCTGCTTCTTCCTCTGCTTCTGCTGCTGCCACGACGACTGACTCCTCTCCACTCTACTTCTCACCCCAAGGCAAGACACGATGATTAATAACCCCCGTGTAAAAAGCCTCTCCTTGTCCGAGGATTCCCCCTCTTGCAAGGAGCTGCATCCCGCGGGCCCTGTGCAACGTGGGCGTCCCTTTTAGCCACTGTAGGATTTTGATTTAAGCATGCTTAATCTCATCAAGTAACGCACTGGCTTGTGATGCAGTGTAAGAGTGTTAATGCTTGACAGTAATGGAGAGTGATAGATTATTCTTACACGGGCCAGCAGCTGGCATGTTCATTAATCTTCCCCCTCCGTCCTGTCCTGTCCACGCAGACCCATCATATTCAGCCTGGGGACCATAAATCTTCCCCAGTGCCGGTGCTTGCTTGTGCACAAGTTTCACCCCCATATGAGTGTGTTTTCCACTTGTATTGCTGTTTTTAGTTTTTGATCACCAGCTATGTGATTTAAAAAAAATAATATCATTTATTTTAGGTTCACCAGAGGTACCAGAGGTTGTTGTTGGCGGTGGAGGAGCATCCAGGAGGCTGAGAACTGCCTACACCAACACCCAACTCCTGGAGCTGGAGAAGGAGTTTCACTTCAACAAATACCTGTGCAGACCCAGGCGAGTGGAAATAGCTGCTTTGCTGGATTTAACGGAGAAGCAAGTGAAAGTGTGGTTTCAGAACCGGAGGATGAAGCACAAGAGGCAGACCCACTGCAAGGAGAACCGGGACAGCGAGGGGAAATACGCGTGCCTGATGGACGACGGGCCGGAGGAGGACGAAGAGTTCGAGCCAGAGGCTGAGAGCGGCGCAGGCGGGACGCTCCTGGAGAGGGAGAGGTATTTCCCCCAAAATACCTTGACTTCACAACAGTGTCAGAACGGGAACAATGGAGACAGTCTGAGCCCCACAGCTGCGCATTTGAGCAGCTATGAGAAAAATCTGAAACATTTTCCTAACCCAGCGCCCACTGTTCCAACCTGCGCGTCAACAATAGGCCCGGACAATGAGTGTTCCCCGGGCCTGGATGTCTCTTTGCAGGATTTCCACGTTTTCTCATCCTCCTCCTCTTTCTCACCGAGTTTGTCAGATTCAACACAAAGTCCTCTGCACTTATCCTCCGAGACGTTTGACCTTTTCTCAGAAACTCTCACAACAATCGACCTGCAAAACTTGAGTTATTGAAATATTTGCCTTGTTAATTCTCATTCAGACACCATGTGTTCTGTCAGTGTGTCAGTTTTAGCCTCATGGGGGAAATATTTAAAAAATCCCACCAATAAGGTAAGTTAAAGCAAAAAACAAACAAACAGGAAAGCAACTATTTTGCCTTCATAGGCTGTTTATTCCACGAGGCTGTTATTATAGAGGACATTTCACATTTATTTTTATATGGATTCCCACTATAACTCAGCAGAATATTTTCCTTGAAATAAAACTCTACATGGAGTGGAATCAGATGCGCATTTGTCTTATTTCACAAGTTTGAGGATATTGTTAGTCTGTGCGTAAAACACGAACACGTGCGTAAAACACGAACACGTGTGTTTTACGCACAAAATGTGTTTTCGAAGAATATAAGCGGGTAAATTTAACTAATAAAACCACATGATATTTTATAAATTATGTACAAAAATAACATGAAGGCAGAATTAATTTTATCACTTCAAACTTTAAAAAACAAAGAGAAAAATATGCACTAAATACACTTTAAAACTAAAAGAAATGTCGTTGAGATTGCATTCCATAATTGTTTTACTTTAAATAGGATGAGAGATATTTTTCCAATAGTAGAAGACCTTAGAATAGCCTATATCTAGTAGCCTGTAATCTCTGGTTTTTTATCCGGACAGGGGTAAAAAATAAGAGATTGGTGGTCTCTGCATGTTAAAGCCCAGAAAAAAAGAAAATTTGCAGTGAGAATTGACTGTTGTGAGTACCAGGCCAAAAGCTACGACTTTTCTCGGCTCTCAAATTAAATTTTATTGCCTATAAAACTCACAGCACTGAGGGTGCTTGTTTATAGCCTGATCCACGATGTTATACAATCGCTTTGAATAAAGAATTGCACCGTGCACCGTCATTCTGGTCCTCATTTATGATTTAAAACTATTTATGTTTAATTAAAAAAAATGTTTATTTCAAATGGTTTAAATTATACTTTAAATGCGTTTTGTCGTCAAAACACACAGTTGGCAAATTCCACTCAAATAGCAGAATGTGTTTATTCTATCAATTGAAAGTCAATTAAATATCAATTAGTTAAAATAAATATGTTAATCTGGATCAAATGCGTGTCCTATGCTCTCCGTCTCATTTACTGCTAAAGGAATTATTCACAGAGACCAGTTGAACCTTACGCACAGTGCAACAGCTGTGGTTGCGTTATTTCTACACATATTGTTAAACTATTATTAAAGGTTTGAGGGAAATGCTTGATGAAAAGCTAAAGCCATTAATTTCTACTGGAATTTCGAGCTTGATAATTAAACTGATCAATAATTCTGCAGGATACGTGCAGAGCCTGTGTATTTCCTCTGCTCTCAGGACTGTGTGGTTGGGCTCAGAGCCTCATACTGCAATATTTAAAAGGTGCAGTGAGCTGCCATTCTGACTGAGATGTGGTTTTAAGTGAAGCCTAATTGTGCACCAATTGAAAACAAGGGCTGAGTGGGCTAATTCCAGAAAACCCAAGAGGCAGAGGAGCAGTCAGCTTTGGTTTGGTGCTGCAGCCACTGAGCCATGTTGTTTTTTTTAATATTCAGACCACACAGTGTCAGTGTGACAAACCAAACACAAATCATCATCTTCTCTTCATTTTTTTTTTTTTTTAAACTTAAGAAAAATAAAGTTTGACCACCTATTCCTTCACAGTCTCTCGTAGGCCTTCACAGAATAAACAAGAGACCTGCTGCATCCTATTTTCTATGAACAGACTCTACATGTCTTAACTGCATTATGAATTTAATTATGTATTTAAAAAAAAAAAAGATGTGTCAATGAGCATATGTGTGAGTTTGCTGGACAACATGCAGCCTGGATTCAGATTACAACACACTGATGTAGACTTTGTTGAATGTGGAACATTCACAGAGAGGAGTGTGTGAGAAGACTGGCAAGTAGCAAAGCTTTATGGGAAACTAGATCCAGCTCTGTGCCAGTAGATCCCACCCTCTGTGCCTACACACAAACACACAAACACACACACACACACACACACACACACACGGGTCGAAGGTCAAGCTGGCTCTCCTCTCCACTCCAAACTGGGAGGAACTGCTGCCAGGTCAGGAGGGGGTCAGGTTTTGAATGACCACAGAGGGTTTGTGGCTTATAAAGAATGTGGCTGCTTGAGATGACTCTGAACAGGAAGTGATGTCACAGAGCGTAAAGTAGAATCTGAGGTTTAATTGCACAAAAAACAATCAAACAACATCAAGCTCGGGATCTGTAATGTGCATTTCTCAGTATTAATCTGATTGCAAACATGCACCAGGTATAAAACACTTACTGCAGCATAAGTATTTTGTCATATTGCATAAAATATGTTTGGATCCCTTTCTTCAGAACACACTTCTGATGGTGTGGCTTCAGCTGAGGGTGTAAAGCGGTCACCCTCTAACCAGAATATCGGCTTTTCGATGCCAGAGTGTCCTTGGGCAAGATATAGAACCCAGAATTTCCACTGGCCTGACACACAGATGAATACAGTGTAAGTGGAGTGTGTGTGTGTTTGTGTGTGTGTGTGTGTCCACCACCTGCAGCTACAGGCTGAAGCTCTTCACACTGCCCCTCCAGAGCTGCTCTGACGTCTCTCCTCTCATTTCTCCACAACAACAGACTCTACAGTTCAAAGCCAGGCTCAGTCTTTTAACCAGGATTGGGTGTTAGTGCCTGTCAAAAGATAAGTCATGAATGAGTGATGTCTTTATAAACAATATGACAACATGCAGGCGGCTTTGCCTGAATGCAGCAGGAGGCAGAAGCTCATAAGAAGACAGTTTTTTACTCTTGCAAGGATTGTACAGTGGCCCTGAAGAGCAAAACACCACAGCAAATATGAAAATACATTGGCACACAAGAAAATAGCAAAAAGAAAACACAATCACAAGTCAACACACCAGAAAATCACATAACACAACAGTAGAAACACACAGGTGAGTAAGAGAAGAGAACAGCAAATAAGAAAACAGCAGTGAATAAGAAAACACAATGGCAAAATATGTTTTGTTAACATGTCCTTCCTGTTAACAAGACGGAGTGTGCATTTGTACAATCAGAGATGAGCCTTGTCGATAGCAAGTAGCCTAATTCCCCCTTTTTGTAAGAAGTTTATTCCACTGTGTTTTGTGATATGTTGTTGTATTCTGTGAATTATTGCTCAGTTTTTTTTATTATCTACCTTTAAGTTTTGTTTTCTGACTGGCACCTCAGGGCCTGGGTAGCCTGGTGCCTCAGATTAGATGAATCTCAGTGTTTTACATTGACTTCTTATAAAGAAACTGAGGGGACTAATGATGCAAACATTCAGAATGTGCTTAAGGAACAAACTAGTGCAGCTCAGACTCCCTGAAACACCTGCCTGTTGCTTCGAGACTAAAAAAAACAAAAACCTGGCAGCAGTTTGACTTAATTGCATTTTCATCTATTAATAATCCCTGTGCAGATTTATTGTGTTGACACATTTATAAACTCAGAGTGCTGACTTACATCATTGTGTGGAAACAGGATCTCCTCCCAATGTGTCCACTGAGAAATATTATCTGGAATCAATCACAAATATGATCATGGCATAATACGCTCTGGCTTTATGAGCGTGTGAAGACCCGTGAAAGCATCAGACCTTTGTCATCAGGGGTGCACGCGCACATCAATGCACGCGCAGAACAATGCACGCGCTGATATAATGATAATAATAATAACACTATACATGAGTGAGAGCTGGTTGAAGTCATGGCGCTGCAGCAGAACTGTGCGGTCATTGTTGATTTTAACTTCCGTGTGTGTGTGTGTGTGTGTGTTTAGCCACTGCTGGTACTTCCGTGTCATGTGAAGTTTCCCCTGCTCCATCGCTGCCTGCACACACACACACACACACACTCTCTGTGATCAGGACCATGAGAGCGATTCCTGACGAGCTGACCACGCTGATTTCAGGTGATATATGAGAAAGTTGCTTCTTTTCCAGGCTGTTGAGCTGTTTTCAGTTTTTTTGAGTGAAAAGCTTCACTCAACGTTTGTGAGACCGCTGTGTTGGTAAAAAAAAAAAAAAAAAGAGGAAGCACTGACTCAATATGGATGACTGGGTTAGTGTCAGACCTGCTGTGCTGATGAAGTCCGGCAGAAAACACAACTTTCTCCTGCTGGTTTAAAACCGTCTCAGATAGAGCTACAAAAAAATGCAGCTTAGTTTGTATTGTTGCTGTGTAGTGTTGAGCCATTTCACTGACTCAACAACACAAGCCTAGTGGTCAGCAGTGCCGGATCTAGGGTTTTTGTAAATTGTGGGCCGCAACTTACACAGAGGTGCCAATTTTATGTCTAACATCCAACCATTTTACTCTGCTTACCAGGGTTCAGGTCGCAGAGGTAAAGCCGGACAAGTGGGGTTTAGATATCCCTCTCCTTAGCCACACTTTACAGCTCTTCCTGGGGGGTCCTGAAGCGTTCTCAGGCCAGATGGGATATGTAGTCCCTCCAGCGAGTTCTTGGTCTCTTTCTGCGTTCCAGACTCAGATATCAGAAGTTTTTGACCTCATACTTGATAAAGCGCAATGGAACTCCACCCAAAGTCAGAATTCTGTGAACTTGGGAAAAATGTATTAACCCCGACTTCACGGAGAAGCAGTTGACTGACGTTACACATGGCGGCGCTCATGGAGACATAGAGTGTTGAGGCCCGTCCACCCTCTGTTGGACTATTCATTTTTGAGAGCGTGTGCACGTGTTCTCTCCCTCTTATGTATCAGAATGTGTTTCCAAGTTTAAAGTGCCTTAAAATAAAATGTATAATGGCGTCTGTTGCCTGTTGTCATTTCCCCCCTCTGCTTTGTTTATGTATGAACGGAGGCTGCACTGGTCACAGTTTAATTGTGTCATCATGAGCAGAATAAACATCAGTCAGACATGTTTGTTTTACGCTGATGTCGTGCCATCACCCTGCATTAGAACGCTTGGAAGTTGGGACTTGGAAATTTCAAGTCGTAATATCTGACATCCGAGTTGTCTGGAATGCAGAATCAGCTCAGAGGTTTTTCCTGGTGTAAACCAAAAGTTTTGCGGTTTAGCTCGTTCTTTATGAAAACGGTTCAGTAGCACAATTTCTGATTCACTAAGGTCCACGTCTAAGTCATTGCTTGTTTTGGCTGTTGGCTCTTTAGCTCTAAGCCAAATCACTTATGATTGATTATATATTGAAAATTCCATTCCATCCTTCAAAATGCCTTAGAAAATCTAAACTCCTAACACATTGTCAATATTATTAGAAAATTACATTAGTAAGTATTTTATAAGACTGGACTTGGGCACTATAGGGGCCAATCAGATTTCAGTGGGGTCCAGTGCCCCCATGGCCCCTGGATATCAGGGTGAGCAAATGATTTACCTTTTCTTTTTTTTTTTATTTAGATCTAGAACATTTTCTCCATAATGGGTTAAAAGGAGAACATTTAAGCAAGAAGGCAAAAGAGAAGAGGGAGGCGTTCATCAAACGCATCAAAGACTTAAAACTGAGGTATTTTTTATATATTACTAAAATCTCATTACATTTTCAGAATTTCAAAGATGTTAATGTTCTCTCACTGTCTCTCCAACAGTTTTCCACATGAATTTAAGGACCAAAGTGAGTGTTTTTCTTTCTTTCTTTATGTTTGTTTATTTGTTTATTACCCTATATAAAATGTATTATTGTTATATGTTCATCTCAGTTATACCAGTGGCCCCCAACCTGGTGGTTTGCACCTTAGACTGAATGTAAGGAATATGGGTTATATGTATTACAGTCTATGGACTGGACCCACTCAAGATATCACAACATGTATGTAAACGATAGAAAATGAGAGACAATCCAATTGAACATACTTTATATACTTTAGATACTTTAATATTGAAGTTTTAGCTCGCCAGGCTTTTAAAACGTATCCAAACTGCGAGAAAAGGGAAAGTCACCGTTCATAACCAGTTGGGAACCACAGCCTGTATCATTACTACACAGCTTTGTGTGTTTACTTCAGTAGGTGGAGAGGACTCAGAGGAGGAGGAGGACGTCGACAGCAACGAAGGAGGCTCGCTGCAGTCAGAGCGCACAGACAAGGATGACGACGCCTGCGAAGGTAGAAGCCACAAGCACTTAGCAGACGTCCCCAAATGTTGATCTGCCAGCTGCTAACAAGCTGCGGATTAGAGTATTGGAAACTGCATGTTGGCATGAAAATACACAAATCTTAGCATCTGCTCTTTGCAGAAAGTGACGTTGAGTGGCACAATGAAGGAGACATTCCAACTGTAACTTGGCAACATACTTGAGGAGCAATTTGGAGGCACTGCTGCTACTCCCACCACCTCTCACCCCCGCCCCTCTGACAGCTCCAGCATGCTTTATTACTCCCAGCCTCGGTCTGGAGGCTGAAAATGACTGCCATGATTTTAGTCTGAGAAAAAACATTCCTCGATATACAGTAGCTTTAACCTTGTGTGCTCCATTGTGGAGATCTATCTATTTTGTTGTTATTGTTTTCTTTTTTTTCCGTTAAAAACGAAGTATCAGGGAAATCCTTGAAATGGTGATTAGAGTCCGGGGTTTATGGGCTGGAAGCAGCTGCGTGTTTTATGGCTGCTCTTTCACACAAAGCAACTTTGACACAGCAGTTGGACATTTGCATTGAGGTTGCATGCTGCAGGCGGAATCTGCAGTGTGACCTCAAATGAGCAGCAAAACATTGCTCAGTGGAGCCTCCATGACCTTTACTTTTCATTTCAACATCCGTCAACTGAGCACACGATAGCAAAGTTACCCAGAAACCCATCTGGTCACATTTAATGGTTTTTAAAAATGAATTTCACTTTGACGAATTAAACACTTTACTAGAACCCAGCAGTATTGATGATGGGTTCAGAGAGAATTCATTAATTTACTTCACCTCAACTCTTCTCCAGGAGCCCAGGAGTCCCCACCTGTGGCAGCTCAGGACCTGACGTCTGTCTTCAAAGCAGGATACCTGGAGAAACGCAGGAAGGGTGGGTGCTCCGCAAACCAGACTGATGCTTAGTAGAGCTGCCTTCATCTAAGGCCAAAGAATTCTACACATGCTCGTCTAGTTCTTATAGTAGAATCATAAAGGAAGTGGCCTGACAACTTAAAGGAGTAATTTGTCATTAAACATAGTTAAGGGAAGAACCCGCCCTTTATTCGCAGATTTAATGGGTTCTTCCCAGGCCCAGACCCCTTCCCTTCACCAACTGTGAATCGGTTTAGTCGTTTTTACAGGGATAATACCCCCCCTCACCTGAATGTTCTTGTTGTTGGGAGTCTGACAAAAGTAAAAACCTAACTGTCTTGCTGGAGGTAACAAGATAGCACATGTTTTGGTGAGAGAGAGAGATTTATTTAAAAAAGGAGACTTCATCTTCACCCTGACATCTGCACGGTGATACAATGTTTTGACCTACGACGCCTGTCAGGCAAACTTCAGTTAGGAGATCACATGACAAAACAACACCTCATATCCCTAATACTTTCCGTGTACTGTTGAAGGCACATAAAAAGACAGGAGTGAAATCCACACGTGATGCACACTTCTAATTGCCTCCATATTAAACACTTAGATAACTGTTTGATTTCCGTCCACAGATCACAGCTTTTTTGGCACCGAGTGGCAGAAGAGATGGTGCGCTCTAAGCCATCACACCTTCTACTATTACGGCAGCGAGAAAGGTACCTAATTTATTTTTCTCATATCGTCCCAGTGTTCTTGTTAATTATGAATCGCACATTTGAGAAAAGCTTATTGTTGTTTCCCAGGTTTTGACAGTTGCATCTTCAGTTGCTGCTTCCCAAGCCGTTAATGATGATGCTTTGATTTTCTGTTCGCAGACAAGCAGCAGAAGGGCGAGTTCAGTATCGATGGGTACACTGTCAAAATGAACAACACCTTACGCAAAGACTCAAAGAAAGACTTCTGCTTCGAGATAACGGCTCCAGACAAGCGAGTCTATCAGGTACGCTTGTCTCTCTCTGTGATGCTGTGAGGAGAAGTGCTCCTCCTAAATTGGAAAACAAAGATGGACTTGAGATGTGCCATGTTTGAAACTTGGCGAGCCACGTGTGTGTACTTGCACATCATTAAATCTTTATTTATTCAAAAACCCATTCATTCATTTGACACTGCTGCCTTTGCAACCTGTCATGCATATTTTAAAAAGTCCAAGTGAGTGTTCCTAACATCCAGAGTCTTCCATGCGGAACATTTTACTATGCATAAACGCAGCATTATTTGTTTATGTTAATTAATATATGTAGAACTGCACATTGCTCTGACTGCCGTCTTCATTTCTCTCGTCTTTCATCGCAGTTTTGTGCGTCATCGGTGAAAGAGGCGGAGGAGTGGGTGAAACAGATAGACTTTGTCTTGAGAGGTTTGAAATGTTTCAATCACAAGAATATTAATTAGAACTCAATTTGTCAGTAACAGCATTTGTAACATCCAAAATGATCCAAATATTAGCCCAAGTTACTCTGTATGTTGCTGCTCAAATCAAACAAAGTTATTGTGTGTTAGTCAAACATGTTATCTTTCATTGTGTGTAGATATGACGGGCATCATCCCTGAAGAAGATGAGGAGGAACAGGAAATGTATGACGATGTTGGTCCTATGGTTGACAGAGATGAGTCGGAGCCAATTGGTGAAGACATTTATGAAGAGCTCCCAGGTCCGACCTCACATTTTATCACTACTCTACTTAGATTTTTGTTTCTATCCGGCAATTAGACGGACAATCTAGTCATAGCTCACTCATCTGTTTTGTTTCTGCAGAGGATGACATGCCTCCTGTAACGGTGGAGCCATCTAACAAACCTGCTCCTCCTGCTGCAGGTAACACAGCACTCAAATCTGTTCTTGCTGTAAATGATGATATATGTTGCATTACATATGATGTGAATACACGCAGCTGAGAAGAAGTGACATTGAGAGGAAACTGTGACTGAAAGCTGTGACTGCACAATGCTGGAAATAACTTTCAGCCTGCTTAACTTCCTTTTATGACATGTTAGAGTTTCATTAGTAGACGACTTCCTTTTTTATCAGAGAAAGAAAATACTTTTACAAAGTATTCATCATCAGACAGGAGAAGAACAGCTTCATTCATATATTGTGCTTCGAGCTCAGATGAATAGATGGAAACACCAAGTTACACGCTGTGTGCTGATTCCATACTGCATAGTAACTCTATACAGAATATTTGCACTGTGGACTGTCGTCCTTACCAAAGAGACAATCAAACTGGAGCTTTATAATAGAGCTGCAGCTAATATCTGTTTTGCCTTTTTTGTCTGACCAGTCGTCCAAAACCTATTGACTGAGTTTTTACTTAAAATATCACTTAAATGATGAATCTATCAGTAGAATACCTGCAGATGAGTCAACTGAATAAGCACCTAATTGACTAATCGTTACAGTTCTGATTAAGAGCTGTAATAAACATGGATAGATCATAACTAATCGATTATGGATTCTTTTAGAGTGTCACTTTATTTTGTCACTTTGCTGTGTGAAAAGAACTACATCCTAAAAACCTGCTTGGAATTAGTATCAAAGTGAGACACTGTCTTGTCTAT